TTCTTTCTTTCTTTCTTTCTTTCTTTCTCCCCCCTACCTTCCCCGCTTGCTCTCTTCTTCAATCTCAGTTTTCATTCCCTTTCTTTTCTCACAGCTCCTTCCCTCTCATGCAACTCATGAGCTGTGCCTTTATTATTCATGTATTTTCACTGATGCATGCATGACTAAAACAAACTGCACATGCACTTTTACAGATATCTTTTTGTGCTACATACATATTTCAGCACACGCATGATTTATATAGAAAATTATGATGACCAACAAAATCATGTAAACTGAAGATAATGCCGGTTTTTATATATTAATACTTTTTAATGGTATAGATTATTTTTTACACCACTGTTAAGCAGTGACTATTTAACGTGCTAAACTTGTTTAATGTTAAACATGGGTAACTGTGTTGTCGAGTCATTTTGCTGTTCAGTGGTGCTTATCTGTTATGGCACTTTACTGCTCCAGCATTACTCTTGTTAGAACTGCTATTTGGGGTCCATAAAATGTCATCATGAAAAAAGTGGGGTCGCACTAAATCGGGGTTATATATACGTGGTTATATAAGAGCAAAAAAGGGGGTTCAGTTACTCATCGCGGTATATCCGAATTCGCGTTAAATCGAGGCGCGTAAAATCGGGTTCCACTGTATATATAGTTTTAACTTATAGTAAGATTTTCTCTGGTTCACACAGATTCGTTGTGAATGAGTCATTATGATGACATGCTCTTCAAGCTTAGATGCAAAAATTAGATTAGAAGTCTTAACTGAATCACAGTTGGAAAGCAATTTGAGCATATATATACAATTAACAATAGGCTGTTTTTATGTAATAGCTGCGTAGTGCTTTCTAACAAAATAACAAGCTTGTAGTTAGGAAATATTCGAGAGAGTTTTGATGGAATGTGTTATTTTGCATTCATTCGACAGGTTTAGAAGAGGAAGCCAATACTGCTGTCACAAAGAAGCAAGACAAGAAAAGGCCAAGGTAATGACCGATGATAATAATTACATGTATCAGTGTGCGGAATTAATGGGAGTCTGGAGTCGAATACTTCCAGATTTACTGTCGGACTCCCTGATTTGACGTATGCAGGAGTCTGTGTGACTCCCTGAAAATTCTGCCATACTACCTAGTTCGTTCCAGAGCACGGCCTCGTGGAAATACCGTATTTTTTTAGCTAATATCCAAAGAAAATTTGACAGACGTGCAACCGCATGAATCTTAAAAATAAGCACATGCGTTATTGTTAATATCTTTAATTTTGAACCTCAGACTGCGGACTCCCTCATTTTGCTGCGGACTCCCTCTTTTTGAGGGTAGGGAGTCTGTTGGACTCCCGTGTTCAAAAGTTCATTTACCATACATGTATGCTTTTAGGCTAAAGTGATTGTAACTTTGACCGAGTAACAGAATTGGGCACTTCCACAGATCACTCTTATAATGTGTGTTTGCTGTTACCCTGCCAACACGTGAGAATATCACTGACCAATATCGATCTCTTGATAAATGGTATTAAATGGCATACTGCTTGCTGCTACTAGCAACCCTTGAAACAAGTTAGGGTTGAATCTGAGCTCTGATTGACCTCATTTACATAGTGGTCAAGTCTAAATAAAAATCTGAATATTGTGCTAGAATTTGGGTTAATATCTTAAATTTTGTTACCCTGTTTGTGGACTTGGAATGAATGCACGCATGTCTAGATCTGCGATCCAAATTTTTATAGCTAAACATTGTAACTGGTGGTTTAGTGGATAAATGTAGGCAAAAAGTATTGTTTATTTACATGAATCGGATAGTATAGGCGAAAAATTATTAGTATATCATATAAATTGATGAAATACTGGGGTAATGTAGTTAAACACCAGTTTAGCTCAGATGTGTTGTTTTATCTCTCGTTTTACCCACCTAAAATGTGTGTCTCACGTAATCTGCAGTAATGCGTTTGACATACTTTGTCTTTACTTGGCAATAGATTGATATTAATACATTTTTCTTATTCCAGGTCACTTGAGTAAACTAGTGTCTAATGTTATGTCATCGTCATTGCTTAATTGTACTGCAACTGTTACTTTCGCCACATCATTGCAGTGAATCTGACCTATCCAAGCTGTTCGTACCCAGTGACAAGAAGATAAAGCCAGCGAATCTTATCACACCTTACGAGGCACCCAAGACTAGCAATGGCAGTGCCGAACCAAGCCCAACCAAAAAGACACCCCCCAGAGAGGATGCTAAAATCAAACTTATTCCAGCAAAACCCAAGCGTAAGTCTCAGGGTAAAGAGCTGTCCATAAAGGAAGTAGTTATTGCGTGTTTAGTTAAACACCAATCGTATTTTCTTTGCGGCTTGACTTATTCTATCCTAGACGGTTTATGTAAACTAGACCTTGCACAGCAGTTAATATTGGCAGTAAATACTGAAACTACTTTAACTAATGAGGGTAGTGAGCACGTTAACCCCAAGACGTGCAACTCCGATTCATGGGCAGAAATATACCTACTGGTTTATTGAATTGGCAATTTCGGTGCTCTTTGACGCTCCCAGTGTAGTCTAGAGCCCCAGCCACCAACAGGGCCAGCTTGAGACGTTTAAATCGTCAATTGACCATTAATGGTCGCGCGTTGTTGCGTTTTGCAATGTGAGCATACTGTTTACCCGTTCACACGTAAACCAGTGATAGTCGACAGTTTTTGTACGAACAAAGAGATCTGTATGTGTGTACTTGCAGCACCTAAAATGCCAATTTCTCTGCACTTTAATTACTGTGCATAAAACTAAGATAGAACAATATAGAAATTGAACATGCCAGCCACTAAACATTCATTTAGTGAAACTAGTGTTTGTCCTATCTTTGTTTGTAACCCACAGTAGAGCTACCTGTGTGCTGTGGGCGTACAGAGAAAGGATGCTTTACAAGTCAATGATGTACTTAGGAAAGATGTGCATTAAGCTATTGAAGATTTAGGAAGGTGTTTTAAAAACATTTTCAGCATACTAAAAATCGGTGATTAGTATATAAAAGGTTGATTTAATTCTCAGGGATTGTCAATGAACATATTTTAATGCATACTCTGCACATGCTGTTAGCTTCTCATACCTCGTCCGGTTACGATTCTATAGATAATTACTTTTCCTGTAGCATACACACTCTAGATTTGAATTCAAATTTACTAACTTTATTATGATTCCATTTACAATTGACCCACCCATGGATGCATTCTGTAAATGTTATTAATGCTTTGGTGGGCTGGAGATTTTCTTTTACATAATTTCATAAAATACTAGTGTACTTGACATGGGAATTTGAAACTGAAGTTTCGGCAGGTGTCAGTTCTGTCTAGTCATTTAAAAGTCAGTTTATTGCAAAGTATGCTAAATGTATGGTGCGTAATATCTGTGATAAAAACACAAGTAAATCAAATGAAAGCTCTTGTGCAGTGTTAATTTATACTTTTTGGTGTATACCAATATATTTTGCTATCCCATATTTATAATTTTTTTATGCGTGGCTGTTATTATACGTGAATGTAATCGTATACACAACGGTGAAAATACTAAGCACATTTGTTCACCTCTTAGAGGGGACCCAACAGCGATTCTTAGTTATGAAGAGAATTAAGATAAGTCTCTTCTGGTGTTTGTGATAAAGGTGTTATATGCAATAAAAACATTGTTTTTTAAGATCTAGTGTTTTGTTTTCTCTTTCCTCAACTGGGCTGTACTGGTTCACATGTCATTCCAAATGAAGTTCGTATAGAATTGGAAGAGTGGGGGGAGTAGTTGATGGTGCTTGGGCATAACCAGCTTAGTAATCCTATAAGTATCTCTCTCAATTACATTAGAAGTCCGTAGGTGCGTTGCGTCTGTTGTCGGTGTACGCCAGGGCGTGTTTTTAAAGCTGGCTGGATCTATAAGCGCGTCTGCGGTAAGCTAGGAGCGTGTGATCTCTCTGCTAGGCCCGTGCTCCATTCACTGGCAGGTTTTTCCAGGCCCTAGCTGCTGTAGCGTGGTGGTGGAGGCTTGATGCTAGCTATTGATCGTAGCAGTTTCCTACACACACACACACACCCCTTAGCCGCTGTAAAATCTGTTTTGCAGCCCTACACCACGTGCGTGTGAGAGGTTCATCATTTAAATCTGGCTAGTGCACTAAACCACCTAGCTTTCCTAGGCGCATTCCCCTGTTGCTCGTATTGTTTTGATAGGATGAAAAAGGCAAAATTCATTCGAACTGTTGGCAAGGAAACGATTTTCCACCAACTTTTATGCGTGGTTCGCACGTTTGTGTGATTAGGGTGTGTGAGCTGTTGCTTGGTGAATTCACCGTGTAGTGTTGGTTTTATTCCTCCACGTCAGATGTGGCAGGTTTTTCGTATAGTAAGAGGTCCGTGTGGCTTGTGGAAGCAACACTAGAAAGTACTAATCTCGCAATTAATTTCTTTCATTATTAATAAACCAGCGTTCACGGCTTGTTCTCGTTGGGGTGTGCACCATAACTGCATGTGACGTGTGTTAAATGCACCAAGTATCTTGTGTTTGCTTCAGAAAAACCAGTACCGCCCATGGGGAGAAGAGAAATCTAATATTGTTATTTATATTTACACTAAAGTTTACACTAGATGACACTATGTATGTATATTTGTATAGATATGCATTTGTTTTACGTGTTTGTCAGAGGTGTGGCATAAGGTTTTTTTTACATATTAAATAAAGTTCTTGTTTTTTCTCTAGCTATCATCTTGGAAAGCACTGGGTTTATGGATGCGTTATCAACTCCTATTTCTGCACCTATTAGAAGGAAAAGAAAGCCTTCAACACAAGATGTTAAGAAGCCCACTGCCTCTCCCACCGCCAGCATCCCGAAGGTGCCATCGGTAAGCTTTAACGAAGCACTTAATTACAATCTCATACATGGTGAGATCTCACATTAGAGCCAAATCCAGCCAACTATTGATATATTAAACTGGAGATTATTGTCTAAAAATCTTGGGATGTGGTACTCTGTTATTGTTGGTAGATTCTCCTGTTTTATATCTGACAAATTGTTGTTTCGCGCATTTGTTGTAATATGCGAAATTAATCTTCCTAATTACCATAATAGGTACGTGCGTGAAATTGCCATCAACACTCATATTTTTACATGTTCTACCCATCGTTTAATATAAGTTTCATATAAAGTCGCATTCAGTTGCACACTTTACATGCAGAAATATTACCTATTAATCAATATCATGTAGTTTATCTCATTAGCCTTAATGCAGCAGTACGTATGTATATATATTTCATCATTTCCATTTCGTAAAATAGAAAATGCAGTGACTTTGCATGATATCTTACAAGGTTTACATACATTAATCATATTCAGGATATGAGTTCGGTGTATGAAGATACGAAATGAGACAGATACGCCTGTTTGCATTTGTGCATGTGTGGGTGACTGGACAAGGGCTCTCTGACTGAGTTATTAAGTGACCATTGTGTATCCTCTTGGTAGTATTAATGAAGTTTGGTGCAGCTTAATGTAAAGTTCTGATGTTGTCAGCACATTAAAGCTGCAGAATTGGTGCTGTTTTACAAGTGTTGTCCATTGTGTTCCAAAACTACTAGCTACTCCTTTGCTCTATGTGCATTCAGTTATATGCATTTAATTATACTTTATCGCATTTCGTTTGCTTCTCTGCAGTTCTATAAAGACACGATGGAGGAGACAACAGAACCAGATCAGAAGAAGCCAAAGAATGATGAGGGAGAAGCTGAAGAGGAAATGGAAGAGACAGCTGCTGGTGATAAAGGCGACTTTGGTACCACTAATGGTAGGTAGTTCACACCTCTACTAGTCACTACAATATACGTGTCCACCGTGTCCATTCAACTTCTCAATGCTCACAGTACTTCTATATATTACCTATGTGTGCAATGTGTCTACATTGAGGTACGACTGTAACATGATTCAGCTGTACTGTCACACCTTCATTCCCCCTGTTTGTCATTTCTAATTAAGGTAATCACTTGTTCAAATCTTAATTTAAATTGTAAATGTTAGATAATTTAAATTTTTAATATTGTCTGTTTACTACGGTATCAAAATCATTTACTAAAAATGTAACTGTAAAATATTTCTTTCGCGAGTAGAAAACAGCAGTGAGAGTAGCAAGTTGGAAGGTCCGGTATCTGTTCTGTCGGACGTTTGCAAGAAGAAAAAATGCAAGAAATCTGTGAGCTGGGCTGAAGAGACTGAACTGCGAAATTACCACTACTTCGAAATGAACGATGATGAGCGAGGTATGCGATTGTTATGCATGAAGCTCATTAAATATGAGAATGAGAGAGAGAGAGGGGGAGGGATGGAGCAAGGCAGAGAGAGGGGGAGGGATGGAGCGAGGCAGAGAGAGGGGGAGGGATGGAGCGCGGCAGAGAGAGAGGGAGGGATGGAGCGCGGCAGAGAGAAAGGGAGGGATGGAGCGCGGCAGAGAGAGAGGGAGGGATGGAGCAAGGAAGAGAAGAAGAGAGGGATGGAGCAAGGAAGAGAAAAAGAGAGGGATGGAGCGAGGAAGGGGGCGAGAAGAGAGAGGGGGCAGGCAGGAAGGGAGAGAGTGAAAGAAGAAACGACGGTGAAACAAAAAGAGGGAGGGGTTTAGTCGGGATCGAAGAAGGTTGGGATTGACACAGTGTCTTGATAAATGTGGTTCACGAATATTAACATGTCGAGCTATAGTTGACATTAACACCAGTACCGGAATGAAATGATAAATCAGGCTTTCTGTGCTATATCTACAGCCAAACATTGCTTGCGTGGCATAACCTGCTACCTGCTGTTATATGTATGTTTAGCTTCTGAGGAACTAGTCTTACCTATGCGTTTCAGTGAATGTAAACAAGGCAGGCACCTTCATGGATCTGAAGCACCAGGATATGCAGAGGGAGCGAAAGGCACTAGATTCGGCTAAGCGAATATTGCTAGAGGACAAAATGCAGGAGCAGATATCTGTAAGTTGAACTAGCAGCATCCTTTAATCATTTATGCAATATGAACACTGTTCTACGTCTACTATGTTTCCTTTTCTTCTGTTTGCATCATGGTCATCCCTGTAAACCCAACTTGTAGAGACAATATCAGGGTGCGAAATTAACGCGAGTCCGGAGTCAAATACTCCCTGATTTACTGTCGGACTCCCTGATTTGACATATGCAGGAGTCCGTGTGACTCCCTGAAAATTCTGCCATACTAACTATAGAGTTCGTTCCGGAGCACGGCCTCGCGGAATTACTGTATTTGTTCAGCTAATGTCCAAAGAAAATTTCTCAGACGTGCAATCGCATGAATCTTAAAAATAAGCACATGCGTTATTGTTATTATCTTTAATTTTGAACCTCAGACTGCGGACTCCCTCATTTTGCTGCGGACTCCCTCTTTTTGAGGGTAGGGAGTCCGTTGGATTCCCTTGTTCAAAAGTTAATTTCTACCCCTGCAATATTATTTGAGGCTCGATAAATTCATTGCAGTACATCCTTGTATCTGGAGCCAATCCATTACTCAAAAAATTATTTTTTATATAATTTTTCATGGTATTGTCGTTATTGTTGTTGTTGTTGTTGTTATATTGCTGCGTATAAACATTTTTCGAAGCTGCATTAATTCATCATGTATGGCATATTGCGTCATTAGTAACTCTCGCCGTGTTTTTCTCTCTTAGTGGCGACTCCCACCTCTAATCAGCGGCATGTCGTTCGTACTGGTCGACCGCGGTTGCAACAGCACGGAGAGGGAGCTGCAGGCGCAGCGGGAAACACAAGTGCTTGCTTCACTCTACTTCAGCAAGGATGCGATCCCATTGAGCCCCCTTGAGCCTGATCCAAGCCGAGAGGAGCAAGTCGATCCCATCGTCGTTCCACTAGACGACGTGAGTTTGATGATTAGTTGTTAGCACTCGTTAGACGATTAGTCGTTATGTAAAGCCGTAGTCTACGTGCATCTAACTCGATCTCTGTGTATAACGCAACGTATATCTGTTAATAGTTTATAGTTTATAGGCATGAGTCGATTCCATCGTCGTCCCGCTAGAGGACGTAACTTTAATGATTAGTCGTTAGCAGTCATGTAAGAACGTTAGATGATTACATGGTGTAGTCCGACGTGTCGTTAGCACTCGTTTACGAACGTCCACGCGAATAACCTATCCACTTAGACTGTGAGGCAGTGCTAGCCAGTTAATGCTGCGGTGATGGGTTCTACAAACAGCGCTTAGCAGTGAAGTGGACATTCTAACATGCATATGTGAGAAACGCCGACAAAGTGTTTGCGTATCGAACTCGCTCCGTGTGAATAAAGCTGTAGTCTACGTGCATCTAACTCGGTGTCTGTGTATAACACAACTTACATTTATTAATAATAGCTTATTGGCGAGAGTCGATGATAATACAACTTATATCTATTAATAGCTTATTGGCGAGGGTCGATGATAATACAACTTATATCTATTAATAGCTTATTGGCGAGGGTCGATGATAATCAATTAATTAATCTATTATAATAAGCTTATTGGCGAGGGTCTCGAATGATAATACAACTATATACTATTATATAAGCTTATTGGCGAGCGACTGATAATACAACTTTATATCTATTAATAGCTTATTGGCAGAGATCGATGATATAACAACTTAATATTTATAATAGCTTATGGCGAGTGGTCGATGATAATACGACTTATATACTATTAATTAGCTTATTGGCGAGGGTCGATGAATAATACAGACTTATTATCTAATAATTAGCTTAAGGGGGGAGGGTCGATATAATAAACTTTATATCTATTAATTAGCTTATTGGCCGAGAGTGCGATTGATTAATGACAACTTATATCTATTATAGCTTATGGCGAGAGTGAATGATAATAAATTATATCTATTAATAAGCTATTGGCGAAGGCGGTCCGATGCATATACAACTTATATCTATTAATAGCTTATTGGCGAGAGTCGATGATAATACAATTTGTATCCATTAATAGCTTATAGGCATGAGTCAATGTATCTAACTCCCATCTCTCTCTCGCTCTCTCGCTCACTCTGAGTGTCGGAATCTCTCGCGTTGCACCAGGCCGACCCGTCGCATGGCCCGGTACGAACCCCTACGATGAGCGCATCGCAGCAGACGGCGATATGTACGGTCAGCTCCCCCGGCGGACAATTCTACACCGGCAGCCTCCCTCCCGCCATCACCAACCTGCTAGCGAGCCTGCAGCAGGGCAAGGACGAGTTGCCGACGGCAACCAACGAACGGCATGATAGCAGACTGCTCGGGCCGTCTTCGCTCGAGCTGCGAAGAGTCCTGACGTCGACGGTGGCGGCCGTCAAAGCAAGGCATACTCAATCTCCATTGAAGGTTATGTGATGGATTAACGCTGGAATGTTTAGTGAACAGTAAGGTACGCGAGCCTCCCTCACTCCATCATGAATTGGTATGTGATTTTACCCATTTGTGATTAGCTGATAACATACAGGGTACGTTGAGCTAACTTCAATCCATGAAAGGATGATGTGCATGTTATCCCGCGTGATCGTTCAGTGTAACATAAGGTAGGCGCGGCTGCTCGATTCTAACTGAAGGATTGATGTTTACTCTCGTGAATTGTTAGTGTAACATTAAGTGTACTGCGAGCTAGCTCGAACTCCATGACGGTAATGTTAGATGTTACCTGTGATGTTAGTGTACCATATCAGTGTAGATGAGTGTGATGTAAGTTGTACTAAGGTACGGACGCGCAGTCATGATCGGTTGTATGTGTAGTTTTACTAGTGTAAACATAATAGTGTATATGATCGAGGTAAGGTAATAGTCGCAGTTAACCTTGATGTAGTGTAACATAAGGTACGCGAGCAGTCAGTGACGTGATGTAGTGTAGTGTTATGTAGTGTAACATACGGTAATTTGAGGTAAGGTATGTGAGCAGTAACTTGATGTAGTGTAACATAAGGTACATGAGCAACAACTACCTACCTACCTACTAACATGATGTAGTGTAATGTAAGGTAATGTAAGGTAAGCAGTACTGTGATGTAGTGTAATGTAATGTAATGTAAGGTAATGTTATGTAATATCATGTAATTGTAATGCAATGCAATGGTTTGTTATGAAGTGTTGTCTAATGAAATGTGAAGTGTAAACAGTTGGTAGGTATAACTGGAAGGTGTGTCTAGCTATCTGGCAGCTTCCATTGTCTCAACATAATTCGACTTAATTTAATGTTAAAATGTTAACGGTTAAATATCGACAAAATGTTGAAGATTTTAAATGCATTTTCGTTATGTATATGACTGGCATGTGGCCCGCGCGATGGATAAGTCATGTTGGCTTCCTTCATTTTCGTAGGGTGGCCAGGCCGGTGCTTCGGAAAGCTTGTCACAACTACCAGAGAGTGAAGAGGAACTTACCGAAAAGTTGAAAGAGATTCTTGGCAACATACACAATACAATGGACGCCCCCGAAGGTAATTTTATGCTGCTCTTACTGCGAATATATCACGGTTCTGCATAAGCTAGGTGGATTGTTATTCTATCGATCCTCTACTCTCATTTACTATCTGTGAATGAAGGATTAAATGAAGTGTGAATAATAGTGTCTAAATAGCTTTAGAAAATGGAAATTCAGTCATATATAAATACTATGTATGTACTATCTATGTTGCTATATGTATTTTATGTGAATATCTATGAGGTAGCTGCTCCAAACGATATACTGCTAACTAGTAGGCACTGTCTCTCTCTCTCTCTCTCCATTTTGTGTTTAAATCTTTTCGGCTCCACAAATGCATTCGGTATGGATAATTCGGTTTACTGATGAAAATGTTCATAATGAATAGTTTAAACTTCAGATAATTAGGCAAATAACTAGGATGATAAAAAGCAGACCACCAGTTGTCGTGAGGGGTGGATCGTCTGACCTCTCTGACCCCCCAGCCCCCCTCCTTGGCTACGGGCCTACTTATATATACAGGTGTCTGTTATATGTAGCTGACGTACTCAATGTAATGGGCACACATAGTCAACACCTATAGAATGCTGCATTGCTATTCAGTAACTTATCTCCGAGTGACTTATTATACCTAATGGATTTTTTTGATTCTCCTTCCATTGTTGTTCTGAATTGTTTCATATTATAGAACCTGGCACAACCATTGATGATGGATGGTGTGCTTACCCAGGTACGGAAATGCCGCGAGGCATGCTAGACGGTTCATTACTCAGTGTCTCAAATGCCATTCGTTTGTGAGTCAGCATGAGTATATGCCATGGACATCACACAGTGATTTATTGTTATATTCCAGAAGGAATTCCACGCAGTGGGCCACCTCGAGGGTTGTTGAGACATCCCGGATTGATGGGGTATGCTCCTGGGATGCCAGCACCTAGACTCGGACCTGGTCCGGGAATGTATCCCAACGTAAGTACAGCCGACGTTCACGAAAGATGTTGTTATCAGTAGTGAAATGAAATCGAAATGCAACAATAGACTACCACGTCCCAGCTCATAAGACATACAGTCATCTGTCCAATTTTCGAACGCCTTCATAACCTCCTCTCACATTGAACCGGATGATTTTTCAAGTTCCAACCCTATCTCAGACATGTAAGATATGCCTGGAATAGGCCTCTATAAACCTAACTAAATCAACAGTTCCAATGATGGTCGGTATTGGAGAGTTGACTTTCGTTCCTCAAAACTTTTGGAGACCCTTAAATACTTTTTTCCCAAAAAATATACCCTGCTGTTTATAGGGTGTTTCTTACGAATTGTAACATCTGATGAGTGTGGCAATAGGGTAGTTGTTCATAAAACATAACTCGAAAGACCACCTTCCTAACCTGAACTCTTTTGGTGCATTGTGTTTCAGTGTAGTGAATGGGTACTGTCATGATTATCCTATCAGTTCACATGTAATCAGTGTAGCACTGCAGTCAATCGGACAATAAATCGTTGAGGGCTGATCGTTGCAATTGTTTTTTCGCTGATCGTGATTGGTTGATGCTGCAGATGCGAGGCCCAATGATGATGCGTGGTCGCCCACCGTTCTTTCACCGTGGGCCACGGCCGCGAGGATTCGGTGAGTCTGTCGTCTACAAACATCAGGGGTTGCCGGGGCCTCACACGACACTTGGTCGTCTGTCCGTGTTAGATCATTCAGCCAGTGGACGTCCATCGATGAAATCGAATGACGAAATCAAAAAATTAAAATGTTAAATCTAGTGCAAGGATTGAAGGAAGGCAGTAATGGTTTTATTTAAGGTTTACAGGGGGGGTATTTTAATATTGTGCCATTTTCTCGCGAATATCTTGCATGCGTGTGTCATTGTTGTTGTGTAGCCGGAGAGATTGTAGTTGACATTTACAATTCCATCTCTTGCAGTGCCAAGACAAGTGTGTCGCAACTTTGTGGCTCCCGGTGGCTGCCGATTCGGAGATGCCTGTCACTTCCTACATCCCGGCATCAATGGCCCACCATTGTGATCAGTGGCTTCTCCTGTGAGCATTGACGATAGCTGCTGTCCAACAGTGGTTGCTCGCCCGGTTTTGCACTGCCGACCGTCGTCACGTAACCAGTCGTCATTCGCTGTGCTGAATGCCTTGTGTGTCTTGCACGTTGCTGTGCCGTGTACTATACACACACATTGAACTGGAGTCGCTGTAGATGCGGCAGAATGTGTGACCGGAACTGTTGACGTAAGCAATGGACGCTGCATAACTGCCGTACGGATGTGCGATGCCACGCGTTGTTTATGTCGTTGTTTGACCCCGGGTACCTGAAAGGGCCTGAGGCTCAACGTTTAATAGACGGCGTGTGATTACGGAATGGTGCTGCTATAACCGGTGATTGCTGCAAAGGCGGTGATGCCACAGTGACCACCCACGAAGCCAGGGATGCCACGATTGCTGCCTGCAAAGGCGGTGATGCCACAGTGACCACTCACGTGTTCAGGGATGCCACGATTGCTGCCTGCAAGGGCAGAGATACCACAGTGACCACTCGCTTGTCCAGGGATGCTGCAGTGACTGCCTACATGGCCAGTCACAGTCACTGCCTGTGCGACCGTGGTTCCACATTCTCGTGCTGTCGTCAACGAGAAAAGTAGCATGGATTTCAGATGTCATTGGGAATGAGAAGAATATGCCATGAGTGGGGAAAAAATCCTTGAATGTGACAAGAAATAATGATGTTACGCGCTCTACTGTCCCTTCTAGCTCAGCGGAAACTATGGTACTCCAGTATAGCATGGCCTTTTCCCTTCCACACACAAGCTCCATGAGAAATGCAATCCAATCGTGAACCAAGCACTTGAAGATGCTGCGATACGGCAGAGGACAGCCGTGAACTGAGACTCTGACGTAATGTTTTCTACAAGCTCCAGTACCTAGTGGCTTTTTGATTTACACAAGTGCTCTGTGTTTTTTTCTTCCCTCAAGCAGGCATTACACCTGTATCTTCCGACTCCACGCAACCCCCCCCCCCCCCACACCACCACCACTGGCACTGCCAGATTCCTACTTGCCTGTCACTTTACTTCCAAAATACACTTAACCACTAAATAGATGGATTATGGGTCAAGGTGCAAAATATTTTTTCCCAGTTAGGATTAGGCACAACCTTAAATAATAAGAATAATAAGCACGAATGCATTTTAAAATAACTAAACATACATTCAGAAGTTCCCATAAATATTACATAAGTGATAGTTAACAACAGTTTGGTTTAAATTTCGTACAACTCCCTTGACTCCTCATTATCAGTCAATATGAGTGTGTGCGTGCGTGTACGTGCGTGGGTGCGTGGGTGCGTGTGGGTGCGTGCGTGTCAGTCTGAAACGACCGAGGTACAAATTTATATCCGTCTGTTCTGTGTATAGTGTATATACACGCACAAAATACGCTGGGAACTTCATTAAATAATGCTAGGTTTTGTATTTAGATAAGGGCTGCTGTGCTCATATGGCAACGGTTGTGGACTTAACATTCCATATTTATTCATCGTTTTAACTAACGAAAAAGCAAATTGAGCCTCGCGTTACCCGTTCTATGAGTTAAGGTCATTTGTTTTGAGTTCTAACTAAATTAATTTAAAGATTTCTGTGTTTCATTAATCGATGAATGATCATTTGCTTTTGAATGAGTTGCCACGAACTTATCTTTTCAAGAAGCCCAAGTAGAAGCCTGTCATGCAATGGCGGAATGCACTTATGAATGTATGTCTGTCATGAATGTAGCAGTAAATCTCACTGACATGAGCGCAGGTAGAGGAGCGTTAACGAATCACATAAAACGTTTAGCATCAACTAGTCTGCATCACTGACGACAGTGAACCTATGTATACCAACACTGAACCCATGTATACGACGTATACCTATGTATCCGCATACATAAATTCGTGTGACCCACTAAATATGGGTTTCTGCGATGCTGTGTAGTGACAGCAGCTCGTGTAGGCAGTAGTTCAGCACCCGCAGTGCAATGTCGCCATGCTCCTTCTGCTTAATTCTTCAATTAAGTCAGTATGGTTACCTGCAGCTTTGCTGGAGCGTTTATCATATATACGTGATGAGCTTGGTACAAGTCTAGGCGTCAGTGTCTCATCGATGGGCCGTTAGCGGTGCCCCACCTTGTGAATGTCCTCCCCCTCCTCCCCCCTCCATTCCTGCATTTCTCCCCTCCCCCTCCCTTCACAGGCATCATCGTTGTCGAATAGACACGTCTACTAAGTATGTTCAGTTGGTTTTGTACGCGAGTCATTTCCCCGTACGTTTCCTGTCGATCGCATAGACATGTAAATATTGAGAAGTCATTATATTTTTGTACATTTTTGTACAGATTTCAGATGGAAGAATACACCTTTATTTTTTATATGAAATGCTGTTTTCTGTGACGTTTCCATGCATGCCAACCAACCAGTGAGTATGAATGAAGATGCAATGCACACGAAGATGGGTATTCTTTTCATTTTTATCTGCAATAATCGCACACAGTTGACAAAAATATCTACAAACGCTTGCATCATTCAAAATGAAGTGCACAGGGAAAACCAATGACATAATCGTTATATAAAGAGCTGTAGTAATATCATGAATATGCCTATATCTATCTCCAATTGACAGAAGTGCTTACATAAACTACTATCGCTTTGGAATACTTGCTTACAAACATACCACGCAACAAATGTTATATTTTTAAATTGATATAAAAGTCCGGCATAAATTATTCACGACGAGGCGTATCTCAGTATATCATAGTTGTTTCATCAGTAAAAACGCGAAGCACATTTTGCTCCCCTGATATTTCAATAAGCGTACATTTGTATTGCATTCCACCCCACCGCTCCAAAATCAGGCATTTTAATATTTGAAGCATCGCAAAGCTGTTAGTTGACATGTAGAACTGGGATTTCTCCCGTGCAATCCCTATTCTACCACGTCAGCACTTTGTTGTAAGATAACTGCCATTTCTAACTGCTCTTGCTGTTGGTTAGTTGATCCAAAGCTACTGTTTCGCTGATCGCGGTCTCCAACACCCAGATAAACTATTAAAGAGGAAGCCATGCCGCCAGTCGTTTGCCTCGTCTAGTCTGACAATAAAATAACTTCTAGGTAAAATCCATTTCACTTTTTTTCTCGGCAAACTGCCGTGAACTCATTTATTCGCTTTTAGGGAGTTTATTGATTTCTATTCAGCGCACAACGTTTACATACCAAACTTCGGCAACACCCAGTTATTTTACACAACACAACAAATTATACGTTCGTGATAATAGTAGTAATCCCATTTAAACAAAAGAATAAATGTAATATCGGTTGGCATTGCATGGATGGTACACATTAACTCGAGGAATGACTCGAGAACTGATACTTAAATGTATGAAACTAGGTAATGAGTAGTGAATATGATCACTCGATCATACTCGCATTGAGCTATATAAATAAAGGTGTATTGTCTCCACGTGTAGCTTTGTCTCTTTTCCTTAGCATTGCGTTATCATGTCTAAATCATCGTTGAACGTGTGTGTTTGTGAGCGGCCACTGTGCGCTCGTGTGTTGGTATGCTGAGTATTTAGCAGCTGTATATAACACGACGTTGCATAAAGGATCATATGATGCACCGATGCGACTGTAAATATGTTTGCGTGCCATGCGGAAAAGGCGCTGCGCTACCTGCATGGTAAATCTTATTCTTGTTTCGTGGTTCTGCGCGTGAAACGTGGCGGGCGTGTGATGCTAACTAGGTGATGCGTGTGCCCCCCCCCCGCACGATACACCCCTGACTGTCTGTCACTCAGTGATGCGGATGTATAACTGTGTAATGAGTACATAACATGTATTGCTATGTACTACTAACTATATAATACCGATTCCTCTCCTCCTTTCCCTTCGTTTTCTACTCCTCCTCCGCCTCCTTAGAAAGCGCTTCGTAGGCAGAGTGCGAAAGGGTTCATTACACTTTGTTTTGTGTTCCAATGCTTAGTGGTGCCCGCGCGGGATCCGTTGCTATTTTGGGCAGTAATAATTCTGTACTAAAGATTATTTTTATTAACTATAGTGTTTGTAGGTACTGTGATAAACATGCATAGCACTCGTTTAACAAGCCGCGTAATGAAGAAATATAGTTAGCATGATAGCCTTTTCTATTCTGCTCTTTGTTTTCACGATATTTCTTCGCGGCACGCGCCCCCCCCCCTCCGTATTCATTTGTCCGTCTTGACACAATTGTAAATATGACATTGTATTTTTTTCACAAACCCTGACTAGTGTGGATAAATGTAACGGGAACTTTGTATGCTATTGTAAATTTTCGACTATTTCGAAATTAATTAGATGGTTTTTTGTTCTCCAGTGCACGTAGTTAGGGCATATTCAATTACTATAACAAATATTACAAGTCGTTTTCTCCCAATATATATATGATATATATATATATAATATATATATATATATATATATAATTTAGATGTATATATTTATATTATAATATGAATATACATATATATATAATTTAGATGTATAAGTCTCATACATTAGACATATGATAATGTATAATACTACATATACATGCTCGACTAACACTACCGATATTGTGTGAAGTGTAATTCGGTTTGCTGGCATGCAATAAAGAAGGGTTTCGGTATAAAGGAAGCTAGTTTATTTGCGTAATTTTGTACTTGCGCGTTTCTGCTATCAACACATAGAAAAGTTAATAATTCATTACGTTTTGATAATAACGATAGAAACAAGTTGGTTACAAGATAGAAGTCATTTCACAGCACTCCCTCCTCTCTCCTCTCATGCGCTTTTCCTCTTTCTCTTTCTCTCTCTCTCTCTCTCGCTTCTGTCTCTCTCTCTCTCGCGCGCTCGCTCCCACCACGACAAACACGCACACACACACACGCGCGCGCAGCGCGCAGCACTACACACACACACACACACACACACACACACACACACACACACACACACACATACATACATACGTACATTACGGACGCGACAATTTGCCTCCCCCTCTTCCAAACGGTATTGCCCACAACCAGTCAAGCATGGGAAAACTTTTGCAGCAAAATGACCGTATTTCAGCCGAAACTTTTCACTCTCCGAGGCACAAAATGTCAATTTACGCCTATAATACACGCGCACGCGTGCGTGCAACCATACCCGCGTGTGTGCGCCCGGTCGCGTGTGTGTATGTGTGCTTGTGTGACTGTAAAAACGCGTATTATAGCCGTATAATCATACTTTGTGCTTTGGAGGGGTGAAAATGTTAAGGCTGAAAACAAGCCATTTGCCTGGCGAACTTTTCACGGTGGAAATACAGAGGGGCACCATCATGACTGAGAAAATGCTATGTTAAATTTAGACATCGGGGCGCCATCTAGTGTGAAAAATAATTATAAAGCGCATATATGGAATAACGCAGATGGATATACTACCGACGCGACCCCCTTCTTTCAAATGGTATCGCCCAGAACCAGTCAAGCATGGAAACACTTTGGCAGCAAAATGACCGTATTTCAGCCGAAACTTTTTCACTCCTCGAGGCACAAAATGTCAATTTACGCCTATATATAATACACGCGCACGCGTGCGTTTAACCATACCCGCGTGTGCGCGCCCGGTCGCGTGTGTGTATGGGTGTTTTTGTGGCTGTAAGAAGAGAGAAGTCACAAGAACTTCGTGAAAAATTTTCATGTTTGACTGGTCGTGGGCGATAGCATTTGGAGGTGGGGGGAGTAAAAGACTGAGGGGAAAGCAGAGAGAGGGAGACAGAAGAAAAAAGAAGAGAAAAGAGGGAGGGGCCAAACATACGGCACGCAAAGTCTCTCTCTCTCTCTCTCTCTCTCTTTCTCTTTCACTCTCTCTTCTCTCACCCTCTCTCTCTCTCTCTCTCTCTCTCTCTCTCTCTCTCTCTTCCCCTCCTCTCTCTCTCTCTCTCTCTCTCTCTCTCTCTCTCTCTCTCTCACTCTCACTCTCTCTCTCTCTCTCTCTCTCTCTCTCTCTCTCTCTCTCTATTTACTACTCTTCTATACCTATTTACTACTCTATCCTCTCTATTTACAGCTCTCTCTCTCTTCTATCTATTTACTACTCTCTGCCTCCATCTCCGCCGTCTCTCAAGCTCTTTCCTTTTTTTCCGTCGTCATATTTGCGCGCTGTGTATTCTTAGCATTAACCACTAAATTACCCGTTAGATGGCGCGAGGTGGCCTTGCGCGCACAAATATCTATTACATAATTATAGAGATATCTATGCCTAAAGTATTAAATGAAGGGCATTGCATTTGTCGTAACGGGACGTTTCTTCGTAGAATTTTGTAGCACACACATATGCACACTGTTTTGATTGAGAAACTAAATATGTCTTGATTTTAGTACATGGAATTCCTCCTCAATGTGTTTCTATAATGGAGTGGTACTTTCATGTCAGTAAATAAATAAAGGCTACTTGCATTAAAATTCATATCAATAAAGTTCAAATATAAAATTATTTATTTAAATATAAGTCATAGGAATTACAAAAAAAGTAATGTACCTTATTTTACAATTAATTCCTCTATTTGCATATTTTCCTATACATGCAATTCCTCTATTTATATTTTCATATTCATATTTACACAACACATATTTACATATATTACAGTAACATTTTAGAGTCTTTATGTGGGTCATTCAGTTAGGTTTATCATTACAGTAGGTTAGATAAATCTATTACATCATCACTCGTCTCACAGTCACGCTGATAAGCTACAATACTTGACCTGACATCTATTTCCATATTTGCATGACCTGTGTTACTGTCAAGTGGTTTAGGCTGGCTACGCGCTTTTCGTAGCTTCTGCTCACATCTTTGCTGTCCCACAGCAGCAGGGAAGGACAGTCTTAGTTGTTCTCGAGAGAGGATGTCAGCCTACAGTAAACAAGAGAATGATAGAGTTAACCTAAATAATTATGGAATGTGTAGCAGCGGTCAATCAGTTATCAAAGCTTAAAAAAGAAAATTATTCTCACATATTCCAAAGCACCACATATCAAAATATTATACTCATTAATAGGGAAATCACTGTGAATGTGTTTACGATGAGAGGAGTTTGCATTGTGGATTTGTATGTGTTAGTGCAACACTCATTACCTGTCTAATCGGCTCTGGGATTCTGTACTTGCAACAACTGACCGCAAGCCTGATAGCAGTCGCTAAACTCACTCCATGACCAATAGAGACATACACGGGATTCTTGGAGTTATCACACGTCCTTAGTGCCTATGTAAGAAATAACCCGAACAATTATATCCTGGCCATAAATATCGGTGTCAGGAAATGTACCATAACCATTTATAAGAAGTTACCGCGCGTACGCCGTGTGCTGAAGTCATGTATAAATTAGTATAATATAAACACGTTACTGTGCTGTGTAGGACGTGCGTTCTATAATAAACCAGTCACTTCGTAGAATCCAAAGAACGAGTACTGTTTTACTCTTACGTCTATCGTGAACCTACAATCCCCCACAATTGGAAACGTTGAATATTTGTATCTTGAGCCATACATGGATGGGTTAAATATGAAAAATAACACAATTTGCTGCTGGATGCCTTTTGCAAATGTAATTCGTGTATGGCAACAAAAACTAAAAGATTAAAAACATAATTTACATGCAAACAAAGTGGTGGAGTAAGGTCACACTTGGATGCTCAATGTTTAATGAATGTGTAAATTTTCTGAATGATCTGCTAGACTTCTCAACATGTCATATAACACGTGAGACAATTAAAGCTGTGCGGTAGGGACATTCAGGATGATTCTAACCGATCACTTACCACAGCATACTTTGTACCGCTAATTCCAACGATATCAAACGTGTCACCTCCTTTGAGCAAGCAACGTTTTATCTGTAACATAAACATGTTCAACAATTACGATTAGCCAACACATTAGGCTCCTAGAAAAGAATTCTCCATAGATTGGAATGTGACTGGACACATGCGTGGATGTGTTGTTAGGGTTAACAAATAAGCATACAATGCTATCTATGGTAAGTTTTTACTATTTGCATTGCAAACAAAATACTCGTTATACGACAGGCTAGGATGACAGAACCTCAAGTGACAAGCATCCTACTTATCAGAACTCACATTTCAAAATAGAAACAAACTTGCACATCGCAAATAAACCAAGTGCAAGGTTATGCAGATTCATGTTTTTTTCTCTCCATTATAATGCATTTTTAAGATATCTTATGCATATCCTAAAAATGCATTATAATGGAGAGAAAAAAACATGAATCTGCATAACCTTGCACTTGGTTTATTTGCGATGTGCAAGTTTGTTTCTATTTTGAAATGTGAGTTGTGATAAGTAGGATGCTTGTCACTTGAGGTTCTGTCATCCTAGCCTGTCGTATAACGAGTATTTTGTTGATGGCAGCACTAAAAACACATTGTACGATATATCGTTAAACTATAACAATTTGAGGAGATCGGGTTGTGTGAGCTTCATCTACTACATGATTTACCTGGTCAGTGTGATATTGGTTCTTCTCTATACCATCAACACAATATAGAGTTTTACCAATGCCTACTGTAGGAATACCTAGCAACACACCAAGATGGCTGGCCAACCCAAAGCCTCTGCTATGGAAAACTCCATTGCCATCTACTAAAATGACCTGCAAAACATAAACATAGATTAAAAGCAAGACAGTATAGATCAAAAAGAATTGAAACATACTCCCAGTAGCAGGTAGTAATGAATTACGTCCCCGTAGCATCATACATGTCAGTTTCCCCAATAGACTGGCTGTGGTACCTGAGGAAAGAATTCCGGATGGCTAGCTTTCAACTCCTGGACTAGATCAGCATGAAACTGCACCTCCCGGAAAGCGAGAAAGCCAGGAATGTATGGCGTGTCGAGCTGAACCAACTTGCACTTGCTATAGACCAACTAAACAACAACAAGCTAATTATATCTTTGCAGATACTACATATTATCAGGAGAATATGACTTACACGCGTATGAACCATATTGGATCAACTATTAAATTAGGATTACTTTGTACAGACAGAAATATTTGCAAACTTGAAATTCCTTAATGCATTTTCTACACATTTTGCTAAAAATAATACACGTTACTAGCTCCTGGATTCAGTTTCTTATTTCCATGTAAATATGTACACAAATGAATACCTCCAAATCAGGAAAAGATACAATTGCCAATGCAGCACAGGCATTTACAGCATCTTCTTTAACGAAGGAGATATCAACTCCCCCAATGAAATGAAGCTCTTCGTGGAAGGTCTGCAACAAGACAATACATTCATTATATAGCAGTATTAAACACACTGAAATTACATAGTTCATCAGGGGCGGATCTAGGGGGGGTCCGGGGGGTCCGGACCCCCCCCCCCTTTAATTTCAAAGTGCCCTAAAAATTTCATCCCAATTTTTTTAGGG